TCCCTCCCCCGGCACCCCGGCCTGAAGTTATTATTAAAGTTCAGTTTAGCCGGGCGCGGTGGCTCACGCCTGTAATCCCAGCACTTTGGGAGGCCGAGGCGGGTGGATCACGAGGTCAAGAGATCAAGACCATCCTGGTCAACAAGGTGAAACCCCGTCTCTACTAAAACTACAAAAAATTAGCTGGGCATGGTGGCGCGTGCCTGTAATCCCAGCTACTCAAGAGGCTGAGACAGGAGAATTGCCTGACCCAGGAGGCGGAGGTTGCGGTGAGCCGAGATCACGCCATTACACTCCAGCCTGGGTAACAAGAGCGAAACTCCGTCTCAAAAAGAATAAATAAATAAATAAATAAAAAATAAAATAAAGTTCAGTTTAACTCTTGTGGTGTCTACAAAGTGTGCCTTTGTTGAGTCTTCAACAGACTATAGCGTGACTCACCTTATGCCATTCAACTGCAGAGGCTGGGGTCATAGGATAAGGGAATCACACAGCTCAGCACGTGGGGAGTTTATTTAAAACCCTAGTGGTCTTTCATTGAGCAGGCAGATGTAGTCATTGCTGACTGATAAATCAACAAAATACGTTTAAAATGTAACCTCTGGCCAGGCACGGTGGCTCAAGCCTGTAATCCCAGCCCTTTGGGAGGATGAGGTGGGCAGATCACAAGGTCAGGAGATGACACCATCCTGGCTAACATAATGAAACCCTGTCTTTACTAAAAATACAAAAAATCAGCTAGGTATGGTGGTGCGTGCCTGTAATCTCAGCTACTCAGGAGACTGAGGCAGGAGAATCGCTTGAACCCAGGAGGCAGAGGTTGCAGTGAGCCCAGATCACGCCATTGCACTCCAGTCTTGGCAACAAGAGCGAAACTCCTTCTCAAAAAAAAAAAAAAAAAAAAAAAAAAAAGTAACCTCTTTTCATGATTTGTTATAATAAATTACCCTTGACTACTCTTTAAAAAAATCACAAGATAAAATTATAATTTTATTTCATTGAGTTCAATACCTGTGAGCATCTTTCAGGTAAATTAAGAGGAAAAATATATACATATAGTTACATTTTGGAAATATTTGTACCTAAAACAATAGAATATGTAATAATAGTTCCTAATGTTGACTTATCTAAATGCATTATTTCTTTTCCTTCTTCTTTTTTTTATTTGAGACAGACTCTTGCTCTGTTGCCTGACTGGAGTAGTGGTGCGGTCTTGGCTCACTGCAACCTCTACCTTCCAGGTTTAAGTAATTCTCCTGCCTCAGCCTCCAGAGTAGCTGGGATTATAGGCACCTGCCACCACGCCTGCTGGCTTTTTTTTTTTTTTTTAAGGGGAAAATAATGACCAGGAAAGGAGGAAAAAAAAAAAAGATTTGAAAATAAATGCAAAACTTTAAGTTATGCACACCTGTAATCCCAGCAATTGGGCTCTGGGAGGTGGGGCAGTGGCTGAGGCTGGAGGATGTCTTGAGCCCAGGAGTTTGAGACCAACCTGGGCAATGAGATCTTGTCTCTTTTTTTTTCTTTGGATCTGCATCTTTCTGCAGATCCTGTCTCTTTAAAAAAGAAAGAAATTGGCTGGACATGGTAGCTCACATCTGTAATGTCAGCACTTTGGGAGGCCAAGGTTGCCAGATTACTTGAGGTCAGGAGTTCAGCGTGGGTAACATGGCAAAATCCCGTCTCTACTAAAAATACAAAAATTCCAAAGTTAGTTGGGTTTGGTGGCAGACACCTGCAATCCCAGCTACTAGGAAGGCTGAGGCAGGAGAATTGCTTGAACCTGGGAGGCAGAGATTGCAGTGAGCTGAAATCTGGCCACTCCATTCCAGCCTGGGCAACAGAGCAAGATTCTGTCTCAAAACAACAAACAAACAAAAACAATAAATAAATAAATAAGGAAAAAAGGAAAAAGGCGAGAACTCGCAATGAAAAATGGATGTATTTGGTAACACTGCCCAAATTGGGTAATGTGTTTTGTTTTGTTTTTTAACTTTTTACTGGCAAGAAACATTCTCCAGCATGAACTGAAGGTGCTCTCTTTTCTGGGCGGTATGTTTTTTTCCCCCCCGAGATGGAGTCTTGCTCTGTCCCCAGGCTGGAGTGCAGTGGCGCAATCTCGGCTCACTACAACCTTGGCCTCCTGGGTTCAAGCGATTCTTCCGCCTCAGCCTCCTGAGTAGCTGGGACCACAGGTGCATGCCACCACACCCGGCTAATTTTTGTATTTTTAGTAGAGACCAAGTTTCACAATGGCCAGGATGATCTCAGTGTCTTGACCTTGTGATCCGCCCACCTCAGCCTCCCAAAGTGCTGGGATTACAGGCGTGAGCCACCAAGCCCCTCCTGGGTGGTGCATTTTAACATTGTACCGAATCTGGTTAGGGTGGCTCTTGAGAAGATCACATTTTTTTTTTTTTTTTTTTTAGAGAATCTTGCTCTGGCACGAGGCTAGGGTGCAGTGGCACGATATCGGCTCACTGTAACCTCCGCCTCCCAGGTTCAAGCAATTCTACTGCCTCAACCTCCCAAGTAACTGAGACTACAGGTACACACTACCACGCCCAGATAATTTTTGTATTTCAACAAATCCTGCAAACTGTTTTAATTCATATTGCTGACACCAGGACTGATGTTACAACATAAGTCTCTTCCTCCTTCTTTCCCCTCCTTCCCTAGTCATTCCACCCTCAAACATTTTGGGGCCCTGTACTAGATACTAGAGATACAAAGGAGACTAGAACATTCTCTGTCCTTGAATTCTTCTCAGCCAAGTGAAGACAGAAACTGCGGTCAGAACATTTTGAATAATAAAGCCACTTGTGACAGAGACGAAGCTCACATTGGAAGTGGAACTTCCATTTCCTGACTCATAATGAAGACCTCTATGCTCAACACCACATACAAAACATGTGCTATGTAGAAAATGTGTAAATTCCATTAACAAATACATTTATCATTTTGAGATAGGCTATTTGTGTCAAGACAGCAGAATTTCAAGTACTAACTCATGTTCCCCCTCCACCTTCTTTTTTAATGGCCTTATCTGAATGAATCTCTGTGCCTACCACTAGATAGGTGACTTAAGACTTCTTGCCC